TCCTTATTATTGTTTCTACTGTAAGTATCAAGGGCATTTGGAAAGTGATTGTACCATAAGGCAAAGGGATGAGGATAAAAAGAAAAAGGAAATGGAGAATGTGAGAAACAAGAATACTAAAGAGATGGACAAAAATCCACAACAAACAAAGGGTCAAAAAGAAGTTGATCAGAAGGAGGGTACCAATCAGCAGTATAACCAGCAAAGAGATCAGGAACAAATGCAGTATCAGCAAGAGGATCACTGGCAAACACAAAGAAGGAGGAACAATAATCAAATACATGCACCTAGAGGCAATACTAGACAAGCAGAACAGTCCACCAAACAAGCAGGTATAATTACTATTCCTACACAAAACACCTATATTAATCTTGATGTGCAGAAGTCATCACCTAGTTTAGAGGCACTGGACAAACACAAAGGCAACAAAGGTGATAACATATATCAGACAACAACAAAAACGCAGCAGGACCAAGGAGAGCAAATCAGAATTACAACGACAAATACTGGAAAGGACAACACTAACAAGAACTTACAGATGGATATAATTCCTACAATTACAACAGGTAACAATAAAGGAAAGGAAGTTCTTACAGTGCAAGATGGTATAGGTACTGACTCAATGCTCCCATCCTCTAAACATATTGATAATGTTGTTAATACTATTGTTGAGGAAGCTGTTGGAGGTTTGGATGGGAGGGGACAGGAGACACATACTAACCTACAGGAAGGGGTGTCCAGGGGGGGACTGACTCATGTTACACATGAGGAAGTGGAATTTCACCATAGTGAAGACTGTAGTGCCCCTGCTACCTTTATCACAAATCAGCAGAAAACTAGAACTCAACAAGTTACTGATACAGGGCAACAACAGGGCAGATTCAATAACAAGTCTGGGAACAGATCGAGTAAAAAGAAAAGAGAGCCTATAAAAAAGAGATTGAAACAGAGTACTGGTCCAGAATCCAGATGGTACGGATGCAGGTAAACAAACTGAGACACATGTCTTTCATAAAGATCAGAATTTGACAGAGACCAGACAACATGCTGATGAACAGGTTGCCAATAAGGTCAAAAAGGGTAAGCTGACTCCTGCTGATTATAGGGAAATTAACTGTGAGGATGGGATGGATCCTGATAATCAATCTATGGATGAGTCTGATGAGGATGTAGAGGACACCATGCAGCATACAGGTCATGTTTTTGGTTCCACTTTCTAGGATACATGCTCAGTTGTTCAAAGAATGACAGAACAACATGGTTTATCCCCAAGGGGAATAAAATAGAGTAGACATAGCCCTCATCAGCCTATCAACAACATGTCTGACACCTCTAGTAGGCCCATGACTAGGTCCAAATAAAAAGGTTATTAATGATTAAGGCCATTTGTTGGAATGCTAGGAGTATCAACACCAACGGATCCTTGGAATGGCTAAAAACACTCAAGAAACTTTATCATTTATCTATTATTGTTATCCTGGAACCATTTGCAGATACTTCTCATATTGGCATGGTGAGAATTCAACTCCAAATGGATCATGCAGTCAGTAATCCTAATGGGAAAATTTGGTTGTTTTAGTCTAATGAAGTCACTAGTAATATTCTTGAAAAGCATGATCAGCACATCACAGTCACTTTTAAGCCCACCGATATCCCAGATAAATTCATGATGTCCTCTATTTATGCTAAATGTAAGGACTCTATGAGGAGACCTTTGTGGGACATGCTAATGTTTTATGCTAATATAGAAATCCCATGTTGTACAATTGGTGATTTCAATGTTATCACATCTATAGAGGAGAGGCTTGGGGGAGTACCTTACAATATGAATAAGAGTTTTGAATTTATTGGAGTGATAGAGGCATATGGATTGACTGATCTTGGATACATAGGGATTCCATTCACATGGTGTAGTCAAAGGGATGCAGAAGCTAGAGTTTGGAAGATATTAGATAGGTCTATGGTTAATGATAAATGTTTAGAGGTTATGCCTCAAACTACTATTGAGAATTTATCCTCTGTTGGTTCTGATCATAGTCCCATGTTGATGCAAATGATTAGGGCTAATGAGAGTCATATAGATATTTCAAGTTCTTACATTTTTGGGTTGAAAATATCACCTTTATGAAAACAGTACAACAGTGCTAGGAAAAAGGAGTTACTATCCAATGTGGAGATTACATCAGAAAATGAAACGAGTAGCAGACACACTTAGCAACTGGTCCAAACAAGAGTATGGAGATATCTTTACCAAGGTAAAGGCGTTTGACGAAACTATAAGGAAATATGAGGAGGAACTTATGACTAACAACACTGAAGCTCTTAGACAGAAATTACATCAGTTGAATGCATCCTACATTAAGTATTTGAAAATGGAGGAATCTATCCTTAAACAAAAGACACAACTACAATGGTTTAAGGATGGTGATGCCAATACCAAATACTTCCATGCCTTGATGAGAGGTAGAAGAACTAGGTTATTTCTGCATAAGATTTGTATTGAAAATGAGGTGTCGGTACAAGTTGAGGATCAAATAGCTCAGGCAGCTTGTGATTATTATCAACAAACATTCACTAGTCAGAATGATAGAATAGATGAAAGAATACTTCAACATATTCCTACAGTAGTCACTCCGGCACAGAATGAGATGATGCAAGCAATGCCTAATATAGAGGAACTCAGACAAGTTGTGTTTGCTATGAATCCAAATTCAGCAGCAGGTCCTGATGGTATAGGGGGTAAATTTTATTAATCTTATTGGAGTATCATTAAAAAGATTTGATGGAAGCTATACAATCTTTCTTTTGTGGTAACATTATGCCTAAGTTCATGACTCATTCATGTTTAGTTTTGCTTCCCAAAACTGAGTAGCCTATCAAATTCACAGATCTTTGACCTATCAGCCTTAGTAATTTTACTAATAAGATAATTTCCAAATTATTGAGCATGAGATTGGCTACTGTTTTGCCCTTATTATTATCAGATAATCAGTCAGGCTTTGTTCGAGGTAGAAGCATTACAGAAAGTATTATGCTTGCACAGGAGATTACTCATGGTATTTAAAAACCTCACATAAGAAATAATGTTGTTATCAAATTTGATATGACCAAGGCATATGATAGAGTGTCTTGGTCATTTACATGTTTGGTACTAAGGAAATTTGGTTTTGGGGAGTTATTCATTGACTTAGTATGGAGGATGATGAGTAACAGCTGGTATTCTATTATCATTAATGGTCACAAACATGGTTTCTTTCACTCCACTAGAGGACTTAAGCAAGGTGACCCTTTATCTCCTACCCTATTTATTTTAGGAGCAGAGGTATTGTCAAGATTGCTAAATTCTCTACATTAGAATCCAAGTTATAAAGGTTTCTTTATGGACCCTAAAGGACCTCAGATCAATTACTTAAGTTTAACAGATGATGTTATTGTTTTTGCTTCCACTGACAGACAATCTTTGAAGCTCATTATGGACAGGTTATGGGAGTATGAACATACTTCTGGCCAGCTTATTAACAAAGAAAAGAGCCATTTTATGATCCTAGACAATACCTCACAGGACATTATCAATACCATTCAAGAAGTAACTAGTTTTTCCCAAAAAAAGTAGTCCTTTTACTTATCTAGGTTGTCCTATTTATATTGGTAGACAAAGGATCATTTATTACTCTTACTTAGTTGAGAAGATCTCCAAAAAGGTTTGTGGTTGGCAGACAAGGGTACTTAGTTTTAGAGGCAGAATTACATTGATCAAACATGCTTTGCAATCTATACCTATACATACTATGGCTGAAATTTCTCCCCCCAGCACGACTATTAAATACATTGAGGCCATTGTTGAAGATTTTTTCTAGGGAAAGGATCTGGATAGAAGGAAATACCATTGGGCATCTCTAGGCACCATGTGTTTACCATGTACAAAAGGAGGGTTAGGATCAGAAGACTATCAGATATATGCAACTCTTTACAGTACAAACAATGGTGGAGTTTCAGGTCTAAAGTATCATTATGGAGTCAATTTCTTAAATCCAAATACTGTTAAAGAGCTCATCCAGTTGCAAAAAAGTTGGATACTGGACAGTCTCTAATGTGGAAATACATGATGAAGAACAAGAATAAATTAGAAGAGTATATAGGTTGGAAAATCAACTCTGGAAGCTGCTCATTTTTGTGGGATAATTGGCTAGGAGGGGGTGCTATAGCTAATTATACTACTTCTGTATCAAGTCTCAATAATGCTACTATTGCACATTTTTTAGTAGATGGAAAATTGAATGAAAGGAAACTGAGGCAACAGGTTCCACATCTCCTTATTCCCTCTATTCTAAACCCTAAACCTAAACACTAAACCCTAACCCCTAAGCCCTAACCTCTAATCCCTAAACCCCTAAACCCAAACCCCAACCCCCAAAAACCTAAACCCTATATCGTAAACCCTAAACCTTAAACCCATAACTAAAAATCCTAAACTCTAAACCCTATACCCTAAACCCTAAACCCTAGACCCTAGACCCTAAACCCCAAACCCCAAACCCCAAACCCCAAACCCCAAACCCTATACCCTATACCCTAAACTCCCAACCCTAAACCCCAAACCAAACCCCTAAACCCTAAATCCTAAACCTAAACCCTAAACACTAAATCGTAAACACTAGACCCTAAACCTTAAATCCAAACTCTAGACCCTAAACCCTAAACCCTAAACCCTAGCCCTATACCTTAAACCCTAATTCCTAAACCCTAAACCCTAGCCCTAAACCATTAAACCTAAAACCCAAACCTAAACCCAAAACCCAAAACCCAAAATCCTAAACTCAAAACCAAAACCTTAAACCCTAACCCTAAACCCTAAACCCCAAATCCTAAACCCTAAAACCTAAACCCTATACCCTAAACCCTAAACCCCATCGCCACCCCATTTCTTGAATTTTTTCTCTCTCTAAAAATTTTCTCTCTAAAAATTCTCTCTAAGGCTTAAGGAACAGCGGTCCACCGGAATGGCCATAGAGCCGCCGGTACAGCAGCTCCGACTGCCGGACCAAGCCCATTCGACGCGCAATCCCAACAGCTACAAACCCCAACAGGGCGCTTCATCAGAATCTTCAGACAATTCTTCGAAATTGCAGCGCATTGAGGCGATCCATGTCGCGATTTCGGAAGAGGAATTGGACTGGGCTCGCAAAATTATTTCCTTAGAGCAATTTGGTTTGATTCATGTTAATTCAACAAGGAATAATGAATCTCCATCTAAAGATCTAGTTACAGGCCAAAAATCAAACGATTCCATCGAGCAAATCGGGAGATCTGTGAAGGCGAAATCGCCGCAAACTTGTCTCAGATGCGCCGTCAAATTCGAACGTCTTCCGGTGAAGTTAGTGATATTTCTACCACTGGGGAATCTTCCCCAGGTCCTGGAGTTCATCCTACTAAAAATTTAAATCATTTTGACGGTGCAATCGCCGGCAACACTAATTCCAATAAAGCTACCGGAGCTCCGATCAACAATGAAAATAATACTATACAACAAATGACTCAATGCGACAAGGAAAACACCCCTGAGGTAACAACACCAGTTAATCAACAAGAGAATAACATTTACAATTCTTCCAATATACAGAGCAATGCTGCAGCACAAGCAGAGGAGCAAAACAGTGAAGAAGAACGGGAATCAATCAGGAGGATGAGCATGCTGAACCAAGGAAACAATCAAGACAATGAGCATACCCCATATCAAAGGGTGGAAGTTGTGAATCAAGAACAAATGCCCAGGAACAACCAGGTAATCACAGATGAAAATGTCCATGGAAAAACGCAGGTTGATCAAGCTGTAGCAGCTAAGCAAAACCAGGAATGGACTATGCCAAAGACTAAGGAACAGGACAAAAATTCAATGGCTAAACAACACAATAATGGGGAGAAAGTCATCTGGAAAGTGAAGGACAATAACAATCCTAGAAATAATACAATACAACAAAGCAAGGAGGACGGAAGGAATCAACAAAACATCAGCAGCATGGAGGCAGGTAAGTCAGTTAACCTTGATCAAAATCCTAATACTAAGTTCCTGCCTAATAATCAAAATAACAATCAAAATGAGCATGAGAAAGGTGATTCTTTGGTGCAGGCTAGTAGGGAGGGTAAAGTTGCACAACAAGAAAAGAATATCCATAATGACCATAACCAAACGATTTCTAGAATTCCTCCACCCATAAAAATATCCTCCAACTTTGATGTCTATCGACCTGTGCAGAAAAAAACCAGCCAAAACAACCTTGAACAAAACTTACAAAAACCTCCTGTAAACAATTCTATAAACAAGAATTACAACCTTCAAATCCCTGATCCTGCCCCCCCCCACTGTGACTCAATCTCTTGCAACCAGACTTCGAGCTAACCAGCTGAAAAATGCAACACCGTTGATCATTGATCAGCCTATTATTACAACTCGTCAAGGTTCTCCTTCTATTACTTTCTATGAAGAGGATTTCCTAGGTAAGATGCCGGGGAGATGTAAGTATACCTTGGTTGGCAAATTCATCAATGCTATGCCTAAAATGGAAGCCATTAGGAAGAGTTTCATTGCTCAAACTCAACTTACGGGTGGTGTCAAGATAGCTCATTTCAATTCAAGGCATATTTACATTGACTTGGATAATGAAGCTGATCATATTTCTGTATGGACAAAGTAAAAGATGTATATTGCAGGTCAATCGATGAAGCTACAATTGTGGACTCCAACATTCAAACCTGCGGAGGAGACACCCATAGTACCTATTTGGATTACCTTGCCGGAACTTCCTTGGCACTGTCATTATATGGATATTCTAACTCCTTTGCTGTCCCCTATTGGTAAAGCCTTATATTTGGACTCGGCAACTATGCATAAAACTAGGGGAAGTGTTGCTAAGGTTAGAGTTCAAATTGACATCACTAGAGAAAGACCTCAACATGTTTGGCTGGGCTTTTCTGAAAAGGATCCTAACTTGGGCAAATGGCAAATAATTGAATATGAAGATGTTCCATCTTATTGTATATATTGTAAACATCATGGTCATGTTATTGGAGAATGCCCATTGAAAGAAAAAGATGAAGAGATCAAGAAAAACAAAGATCAGGAGGCTGCAAAGAAAAGTCAGGAAAAACAGAGCACTCAACATACTAAAGGTATTCAACCATAGGCTCAAACCAAGGAGAACAAGCAACCATACCAACAAGCTACTGACTGGAAGCATACAGAGAAGAATAATACCAATAATGAATCCAATAAGGATGAGCAATGGCAAGTTCAAACCAAAAAGAAAAATAAGCATCACCAGCAAAACCAAGAACAAGGTAAAGATTTTTATCCTCAGGTACAAAAACAGCAGGCCAACAGCATAAAGGAGCAACAAAAATTGCAGCAAACAGGTATGACTTCTAACTCACCTGTGTATGTGGACGAAAAATCTGGTGATCAGATTTCAACAACCCCATCCCCTGTAATTGTTGATGTTGATGATCATTGTGATGACAATGATATCCCTGCCCCTGTATCCCCACTGGTTGTAGCTGCTGAAGTTATCGGAGGGAGGTTGGATGTGCAGGAGAAAACCTTTAACTTGCAAGAAGGGGATCCTAGGGGAAGGGTGGTTAATCAGGCCCCTGCTACCACTCCTAATGATACTCCTCACCACCAAACAAAGGTTCACCAAACCAAGGAAAAAGGCAGAGATGCACCTAATCAACAGGTTCATATCAGTAAGGATTGTGTCAATCAGCCAAAAGGTTCTATGGCCATGGATATGGGAAACAAGGCAGGCACAAGTAATCAGATTCATACTCCTAGTAAGAATAAACCTAGCAAAAAAAAGAGGGAATCTACCAAGAGAAAACAGGCAGAACAGCAGCACCAAGAACAGGCTCCCAAGGACAGTCATCCTCAAGAAAATCCCTGCAAAGACTTTATAATGATGGATCAGATTATGGATGTGGCTACCTGATAACAGCAAGGTTAAAGGAGATCACAAATAGAGAATTGAATATTAGAATGCGGAAGCACAAGAAAAGAAACAACAAAAACTAACTAAAGATATGGGAGATTCGAAGGAAAGATCCACGAATTTCCAAGGATTAGGTGTTCTAAGGTCTTGAAAAGATCCAAGTAACAACGTATAGATTTATGGAAGAAATCTAACGCCTTTACTTGAGAAAACGAATCAAAACGATAGATTCGGATCTTGACCGCTTTATGAGTAACTAAAGACAATAATTAGTATGTAGAAACTAATCACCTTCTAAAGAATACCAAAAAGAAACCAAAGATATCACAAGAAGAAGTTACTTTATACCTTAAACTATGATTAATAACCTTCTAAAGAATACCAAAAAGAAACCAAAGATATCACAAGAAGAAGTTACTTTATACCTTAAACTATGAAACTAGTAAAGGTTTAAAGATAAATTCTCAAAGAACAAGTCACAAAGGTTCAAAGAACTCTCTCAAATATTATTAATATCAATGTAAAGATTGTTCTTTAATGAATGAAAAGGACTCCTATATATAGGAGAAGGAGGAAAAACGTCCAAGACTCCTTATAAGAAGCTAAAAGGTCAGCCAAACCTTAGAAAGACAATTACAAGGAATCCTACTCTAGAAAGGAAATAAAGTAACCTAACTAGGAACAAATTTAGTACTTCTAGGAAAGCATTAAATGGTACTTAGGAGACCATAAATAGACTAAGGAAAATATTAATAACCTATATATAAATAAATAACTAAGGTAAATCCCAACTAGGAAAAGAATCTTGACAATCTTGGAAAGTTTGACTAGTCTTCTGTCAAAACTTGGGCAGAAAGCAACTCTTGTTGTGGCTGATTCTTGGACTCTTCTTGACCTTATTTGCACGAAAATTGGACCTTAAAATTCCTCATCTTGGACTTGAATTTGGGCCACCAAATAATTGTAGCATTTGGACAATTCCTCTCCCTTGGGCTTGAGCTCTTCTTCCCCAATAAAGACACCTTTGGATAAGCGATTGAAGCCCATTGAGCTTATCATTGAACTCCTTGGTTTTGAGATCTTGTTATGGGCCTCCTTGGAGTTTCTAAAGCTTCATCCTTGTCCTTCAATGGAGTAGAGCTTCCTTGGATGCTATCACTACCCTTAAAGCTAAATATGCCACCCCTACTCCTGGGAAGCCCCCAGATCAGTCCAAGGTCACAGTTAGAGATGAGTATGAAGTGGATAATTCAGAAGATGAAATTGATGCTGATCATTTGCCAATAAATGACCAAGATGAAGATGATGAGATTAGTGAATCACTCATCAAAGCTTTCAGCCCCAACAATGACACTGGATTTGAAAAAGAACTTTAACAAGTCACTAACACACAAGGCCTTTCCCCCAGAGGCATCCACCTTACTAGACTACCCCTCAAACAACCTGTCTCTCCTATTCCTGTGACAGCAGGAAGACCAAACACTAGACTCTTCACCTCTAGATCATCCCAATCATTAGTACAATCATATGGAATACTAAAGGAATCAATACCCAAGGTGCTATTGAAAGATTCAAAAACCTCAAAAATATCCATCAAATTTCTATGATTGCTGTGTTAGAACCCTTCTCAGACAACAGCCAGATCAACATGTTTAAAAGTATGCTTGCCATGGACCATGCTACTAGTAACATCAATGGAAAAATTTGTCTCTTTCGAAACACAGATATTGTTTGCACAGTGTTAGAAACCGATGAACAACAGGTTACGTGTGAAATTAGCCACACAGAAATTCAGGGTACTTATATCAAGACTTTCGTGTATGCTAAATGTAAAGATTATCTCAGGAGGCCTCTCTGGGACAGATTACTTCATATTTCTGATACTAGAGATACCATTCCCTGGTGCACAGTTGGTGACTTTAATGTCATAACTGATATTGATGAAAAATTGGGTGGTATTCCTTACAATATGAGAAAAAGTCTAGAGTTCATTGGAGTTATTGAAGCATGTGGACTTATGGACTTAGGGTTTAATGGACCCAAATTCACTTGGTCTAATCAAAGAGGCGTCAATTTCAGAATTTGGAAGAGATTGGATAGGGCTATGGTTAATGATAAGTGGTTGGAGAACATGCCTCACACTAGCATTACTCACCTCCCTTCCGTGGGGTCTGATCACTGTCCATTACTCCTGGAAATGAAGGCAAGGCCTGACAACTGCATCAAATACTTTATGTTCCTTAATTTTTGGGTTGAACAACCGTCATTTATAGAGACAATCACTGCCTGCTGGAACAGACCTGCTGAAGGAAATCCAATGTGGACCTTCCATCAAAAAATTAAGAGATTGGCTTGTACTCTTAGTGCTTGGTTGAAGATGCAATTTGGTGATATTTATGTTAAAGTTAAGGAGTTTGAGGAAAGAGTCAAGGTAGCAGAAGACAATCTCCTACAAAGCAACACTGAGAAGCATAGAGAAGAACTTCATGGTATTAATGCTGAATATATTAGATACATGAAATTGGAAGACTCTATTCTTAAACAAAAATCTCAATTACAATGGTTTAAAGAAGAAGACGACAATTCCAAATACTTCCATGCTTTGATTAGAGGAAGGAGAAGAAGACTTTTTATTCATAAAATACTCAATGATGATGATGAATGGATACAAGGTGATGAGCATATAGCACATGCTGCATGTACTCACTTTCAGCATATCTTCTCAAGAGAGGGAAAAATCGTGGATGAAATTCCAATGAACTGTATTCCAAGAATGGTCAACCAGGAACTCAATGATAGACTGAAAGAACTCCCTACCATTGATGAACTTAAAGAGGTTGTTCACTCAATGAATCCCAATTCAGCTGCGGGGCCGGATGGTATGAATGGATGTTTCTTCCAAAAATGCTGGAACATTATCAAAAATGACTTGATGGCTGTAATTCTTGCTTTTTTCAGTGGCCAAATGATCCCTAAATATTTTTCACATGCTTGTCTTGTTCTCCTTCCCAAAGTGAAGAACCCTAACAGACTCAATGAATTCAGACCCATCAGCTTGAGTAACTTCACAACTAAGATTATTTCGAAACTGTTATGTATTAGATTAACTCCTATATTACCTACCTTGATTTCTCCAAATCAATCAGGCTTTGTCAAAGATAGGAGCATATCAGAGAACATTATGTTAGCTCAAGAAATTATCCATCAAATTAAGAAACCTACTATTGGAAGTAATGTCGTGATTAAGCTTGAGATGACAAAAGCTTACGATAGGGTTTCATGGTCTTATATTTGTTTAATCTTGAGAAAAATGGGTTTTGAGGAGATTTTCATTGACATGATTTGGAGAATTATGGCCAACAATTGGTACTCTATCATTCTTAATGGCAGAAGATATGGTTTATTCCACTCAACTAGAGGCCTTAAACAAGGTGATCCATTATCCCCAGCCCTATTTATTTTAGGTGCTAAGGTGTTATCTAGATCACTAAACAGACTCCATCAACATCCTCTATACCATGGATTCTATATGGAAATGAGAGGACCTCAAATTAACCACTTGAGTTTTGCGGATGACATCATAATCTTCACTTATGGAAGGAAGGATTCTCTCAAACTCATCATGCAGACTTTGGCTACATATGAAAGGATCTCTGGTCAACTGATCAACAAAGCCAAGAGCCGCTTTCTACTCCATCCTAATGCCTTCAGAACTACTTGTGATAGAATCAAAAGATACACTGGATTTCATCAAAAAGAAGCTCCTATTACTTATCTTGGCTGTCAACTCTTTATTGGAAAGCCCAGACTTACTTATTTTTCTGATCTCATCAACAAGATTGTGAATAGAATCACTGGCTGGCAATCTAAGATGCTAAGTTATGGGGGCAAATCCACCTTAATTAAGCATGTTTTACAATCCATGCCTATTCATATTCTTTCGGCCATTTCCGCCCCTTCTACTAGACTCAAACAGATCCAAAGTATCTTGGCTGACTTCTTTTGGGGATGGAGGGAAGACAAGAAAAAATATCATTGGTCGTCATGGAAAAACCTTAGCCTTCCCTATGATGAAGGGGGAATTGGAGTAAGGCAAATGAGTGATATTTGTCAAGCTTTCCAATTCAAACATTGGTGGATCTTTAGAACCAAGCAAACTCTTTGGGGAGACTTTCTAAGAGCAAAATACTGCCAAAGATCAAATCCCAAATGGGATACGGGAGAGTCCCAAGCCTGGAAGCTGCTTATGAGGAACAAACATAGAGTGGAGAAGCATATCCAATGGAAAATTAGAAATGGTTCTTCTTCATTTTGGTGGGACAACTAGTTAGGTATAGGATCACTGGCGCAATTCACTACTACTAGCCATAGATTTGACAATGAAACTATCGCTGATTTTACGACAAACGGGCAGTGGAATGTGGACAAACTGAATCAATTTGCTCCTCAGAACCAACTACACAAGATTCTGTCAACTCAACTACAACTACAACATACCAGTTCTGACCAGGCTGTTTGGAATCTCAACGCAAATGGCCTCTTTACTATCTCTTCTGCCTGGGATATCATTCGAGAAAAGAGAACAAAAACCAAGTCTAATTCATACACTTGGAATCGAAACATCCCTTTCAAATGCTCATTCTTGTTATGGAGAACAATAAGGGGTAAAATTCCTACCTATGAGAAGCTGGCCAGCTTTGGCATTGAACCAAGTGAGCGTTATTGCTGTCATTCTCCAGGTGCTGATACCATTGATCACATTTTTAACTCAGGGAACTTGGCAAAGAATGTATGGAAATTTTTTGCCATTCCCTTGGGTATACCCACTGATTTTCTGCCTCTGAGAAGCATGATCATGAGGTGGTGGAGTATCCCCCATCATAATGAAGCCCACAGAAGTATTCTTCAAGCCACTCCAATCTTTATTTGATGGAATTTGTGGAAAAATCGATGTTCAAAGAAATATGGAGGTAAACAATCAAATATTGCAACGGTCAAACATCTGGTAATCTTGGACACCTCCAAGCTGCCGCACACTGTTTTTCCATACATTTCTTGGCCTTTGAACTGGAGCAGCCTGTGCAAATTGCTGGAAAATTGCATCCACGACAGCAAGGTTACTGTAGTCCAGTGGATTAAACCACCAGAAAAATGGGTTAAATTGAACACCGATGGGAGTGCATTGAATAACCCAGGCAGCATAGGAGCGGGTGGTGTTCTCATAAATCACATGGGAGAACTCCTCCTTGCTTTCTCTATCCCATTAGGCGAAGGCACCAACAATCAGGCTGAAATCGAGGCTGCACTATTTGGCTGAACTTGGTGCGCTCAATTGAATTACAACAAGGTTATCCTGGAAGTTGACTCCCAACTTCTTGTGGACTGCTTTTTGAACAAAAAAATAATTCCTTGGTCCATTTCTTCCCAGATGCAAAGGCTGCAACGACTCTCCTCCAATTTCCCTCAAATTAAGTGTATCCATACACTTCGAGAAGCCAACTTTGTAGCGGACACACTCTCCAAATACAGTCATCAGCTGACCAGTCCAATGATTTATTTCAACACTCAATAGCTCCCCAAGACAGCAGCAGCATACCTTCAACAAGACATGGCAGGCATGGCAAATTTCAAAAGAAGGAAGTTGAAGAGAATTAAAGAACCTCCTTAATCCACTCCGGTTAAAAGAAGGCTTTGTAAGGAGCTTGAACTCCTTCAATCCTTCTTCTGATGATCATCCTATCATCATCACTTTGACTACACTCTTGTTAGGATAGTCCTTAGTGGAGTCTTTTCTTTTGCTTTTCTTGTAAAGGGAGGGTCTCCCTCATTTATGCTTTCCTAGATTCCATGTATCGAGAAGAGTCCTCTCATATAGGTGCATCGAAGAAAGGTTTCTTTTTGTTTGGGGAAGAGTTGGAGAACCTACTAAGAATACTTAGTAGGCTACCAACTCTTGTACCACCATTAAGCGGAGGTAAGGTTTATGTGCCCCTCTATGTATTTTTGTTTTTCTTACGAATGCTAAGGCATGGGGGTGTTGCTCAGCCCCTACCCCTCTAAGGGTATTAAAATTTTTTTTTAAAAAAACAAAAACCCTAAACCCCAAACCCAAACCCCAACCCCAAACCCCAAACCTAAACCCTAAACCCTAAATCCTAAACGTAAACCCTAAACCCCAAACCATAAACCCTACACCCTAAACCTTAAATCCAAACTCAAAACCCTAAACCCTAAACCCTAAATTCTATAGCCTAATCCCTAAACCCTAAACCTTAAACCATAAATCGTAAAGTCAAAACCCTAATCCATAACCCTAAACCCTAAACCCTAAACCCTAAAACCTAAACCTTGAACCCTAAACCCTAAATCCAAAACCCTAAACCCAAAACCCTAGACCCTAAACTCTAAACCCTAAACCCTAAACCCTAACCATTAACCCTAAACCCTAAACCCTAAACTATAATCACTAAATCCTCACCCTAAACCATAAACCATAAACCAAAAAACCTAAACCCAAAATCCTTAACTCTAAACCCTAAACCATAACTCTAAAATCTAAATAGTAAAACACTAAACACTATTTCCTATACTCTAAATGTCACGACCCAAGCCTAGGGCCTAGACATGACATGGCGAATGAGGAACCCGAAGGAACCCCAAACAAGCCTCTCAAACTTGTCATCACACTTCATCGGTCGCGGAAGTACATTCAATATTAATTAACGGGAAATAGGGACTAAGGGCAAACCATTTCAAAATGACATCATAGAATAAGAGTCAAGCTCATTTACAAAATACTTGTCCAACGCACACCTCTACATACATAGATAGGACGGGGCCATGACATTCTACCGGCTCCCCTCATAGTCAAAATACAATTGCAAGCTAAAGTCTCAAAACATAGGAGTAGGAAACATAACATAGCCCTCGAATCATTGAGGACTCACCAACAAACTCGGATAAGCGTCGTACTAGCCACGTGAATGGAGAGAAGGATCAAGAGTAGCTCCGGTCCCTACATGGTGACATCATGTAGGCAAAATATGCGTTAGTACTTGGAATGTACTAAGTATGCGGGGTGCAACACAACAATAAACAAGGACACAATCGAAATACAAGAAATAGTTTCATAGGCATTATGAATAACAATATGAGGATGCATGATCAAAGTGAAGTCAAAACATGTTTAAGTAACTCTATACTAATAGTAGATATCATATGTGTATGCATGATCCAACCAATCTATAACCCCAACTTAGGATGGGGGATGCCGTTCACACCCGGACACCCTGGTGGCAAGGTATAAACCCCTCACATGGTTGATGTTGGTCACACCCCAAGCATCCTAGGTGGTGAGATATAAACCTCTCACATGGTTGATGTTGGTCACACCCCAAGCATCCTAGGTGGTGAGATATAAACCTCTCACATGGTTGATGTTGGTCACACCCCAAGCATCCTAGGTGGTGAGATATAAACCTCTCACATGGTTGATGTTGGTCACACCCCAAGCATCCTAGGTGGTGAGATATAAACCTCTCACATGGTTGATGTTGGTCACACCCCAAGCATCCTAGGTGGTGAGATATAAACCTCTCACATGGTTGATGTTGGTCACACCCCAAGCATCCTAGGTGGTGAGATATAAACCTCTCACATGGTTGATGTTGGTCACACCCCAAGCATCCTAGGTGGTGAGATATAAACCTCTCACATGGTTGATGTTGGTCACACCCCAAGCATCCTAGGTGGTGAGATATAAACCTCTCACATGGTTGATGTTGGTCACACCCCAAGCATCCTAGGTGGTGAGATATAAACTATGGGTAGAATAGAGTAGAATAGAGTCTAGGCACTATGGGTGGAAGGA